TATGTTATTTGATAATTCGGTTAATGCCCAAAACATGACTAAAAAACGTTAAATTTCAACATATTTCTATTTTTTTCCATAATTATTTTAACCACTTAAATGCATTCTTGCGCAACGCGCAAGGTTACACCTAGTATTAAATATATGAACATGCGACAAACTTTTAAAATAGCTCTGAAAGTTTGTCGCATGTTAATATATTTAACATATATTAACATCCAAGGTATAAACAAAACTATTCTTCTACTAATATAAAAAGATACATATAGGAAAAATTGATTTATTCAAAGAGTTTGGTATCTATAATTTATTTCTGTGTGTTTATTGAATTATTTAATATTTGCAGATATTCATCAATATATTATATGTGATTGTGTGTTCATTTAGAAAGAAAGTTAAAATTGTTTTTTTTTTAATTCAACAGTCTCACCAAATAACATTGATTCATTAAGAGACAAAATCATTTAGAGGCTCTCGCCTCAGCATCATTTAGATCTTTGAGTCATTTAACTCTAATTTATTCATAGATTACTACACAACTCTTAAATACATAGCATCAATATGATCTTTTTATATTAATAGAAGAATAGTTTTGTTTATACCCTGGATGTTAATATATGTTAAATATATTAACATGCGACAAACTTTCAGAGCTATTCTAAAAGTTTGTCGCATGTTAGGTGTAAACGATTCATTTCTATTTGTTATGGCTTAGTATGGAATCTGTGGAAGAATCGGAATGAAAGAGTGTTCAATGGTACTTTTATCAGCCCGACGATTGGTGCAAGAAATGTGAAATCTATGGTGTATTTTTGGATAAAATGTAGAGGAAATGGTGATATTTGTAAGTGGGTGGATTGGAAGCACTCTCCTTTCCACGCCCTATAGCATTTTTTCCCAATTTATGTTTTGCTATTGTTTTGTAGCCCTTGTTCCCTCGCTAGTTACTTTCTAGTCGTGGGTTCGTTTCCTTTTTAATATATTTGCCGTTTCAAAAAAAAAACATAGCATCATTATGATACTTTTATATATTTTATAAATTACATGTATCGATCAAAATGACATTTAATATCAAATATCATGTATGGTTAAAAACAACATATTAAAGGAGAATCTATGAAACATTTTAAATATATGATTATAATTTTACGGAACAACAACCATAGACAAGAGACCTAGCAAAGGGCTAACGAAAAAGATACATATTAAGGCAGATTTTGTGACACCCCCAAATTCACGGCCAGAAAAGACCGGTTATGCTTTTGAAATAATTTCAGAGTAATCATTTGATTGAAAGTGTTGCGGAATTTGTTCCCAGAAAAACATAATAAATATGTTATCAAATCATTTCCGAAGAAATGTATTTTATTCATTTAAACCATTGGGATGTCATTGTCAATACAAAAACATAAGCATAAACAAAACTTACATTCATTTACACTAGTGATCTACTTCTCTTTTAATATCTCAGTGTAAAACAACTTCGTATCGATACCTGTGATACAATTAAACTGAGTGGGTCAGGCTTGGGAGCCTGGTGAGCATATAGGGTTTTCAACCCACAATAAATAATTTATTATGCTTAAACATCAAACAATCAACCCAATTACCCAATCCCCATTGTCTTATTTATTTCTTAAGGATTTACCCTAAGAATCAACTATCACTCATTCCTAAGGAATAGACACGAAGTCCATCGTTGCCCAAGGCTTATACTACAAGCACTAACAACGTCGATCCCCACATACTGATCATATACAATGATCTTACTAGATCTAGCCTAAATGATCGATATGAACAACCAACTAACGAAACTGCTTCGGAAATCCCCTAGCAGCAAACAAGGATCGATAAAGATATCGAATGAATGAAATAAGTTTAACCACGAACCTTTGTTCGTAAAAGAAAGAACCACAAGACAATTAAGTCAGGGGTAGTTATCAATGCCTAGGCTGTGGTCTGAATATCGTGAGACATGTAGCCCCCAGACGCACCCTATCCAGCATCGAACTTTTCCTAGGCTGTGGTCTGAATATTGTGAGGTATATAACCCCCAGACGCACCCTATCCGGCAATGGAAACGCTGACTAATGCCTAGGCTGTGGTCTGTACCCCCAGACTCACCCCTATCCAGCATTGGAAACGCTGACTAATGCCTAGGCTGTGGTCTGAATATCGTGAGGTATATAACCTCCAGACGCACCCTATCCGGCAATGGAAACGCTGACTAATGCCTAGGCTGTGGTCTGAACCCGCAGACTCACTCCTATCCTGCATCGAAAATGAAAACACCGACTAATGCCTAGGCTGTGGTCTGAATATCGTGAGGTATATAACCTCCAGACGCGTCCTATCCGACATCGGAAACGCTGACTCATGAAGCTCGTCCGATCACTTCATAGAAGAAACAAAGACTCCAAAGCTCTTCAAAATAAGAGTATAGGGAAAATACTAATAAAGTACTCCCGTACGTTCCCGTACCTCGACACATAATAGTGTCAAAAAGAAAAACTATCGGATTAACACATAGTTCAAAAACACCTAATGAACATATAGTTCGGGAAGACCTTATGAACATATAGTTCAAACATACTTACCGATTACAAGTCTGCTAACGTTCCACTGGACTATCTAAAATAGTGTGTGGCCGTTGTCTATACTCTGCTAGATGACTAGATCATCTTAAACATCAGTACCTCTCATCACTTTTATTTCATCACACATCATCTAATTCATCTACCCATGTTTTACCCAACATATTTGTAGATAAAAATACATATACATTTTAAAACTTGTATAAAACATCAATTCAACAGTCACCTCAAATAAACAATTAATATATTTACACATAGCACGTATTTCAAGGTAAATACTTCATATCTATGTGTAAGGTGAAAGTAACTATACACTCACCTGATTTAATGAAAATCGGGCAGCAATTCGTTTCCTAAAACGATCGTTTCTAATAAAACCGGGAGTTTTATTGAGAACCGAGCTCTGGCGAGGGTCGGGCTTCGAAACCGAAAAAATAAATTTCCCGGGCTTCTCAGGCACTCCGGGACGTGTTCCGGGATTTGGAAATGATCTCAGGGCTTCGGGGGAAGTCAAAATGCTAAAAATATGAGTTTAGGGGTGAAAAAGGGCAAAATCCCAAAGTTACCCGGGCAATCTCGCATGCCCTGTATTATAGGGGAGAATCCGAAGTCGGCCGAGAGAAGGGAGTCATCACCGAGGACACGCGACAGCAGATCCGAAGGCCAGGTGTCCGATGCGAGGCGAGGCAGGTGGCTTCGGATGCGAGGAGTCAGCAAACACGCATCGGTCTTCAGACGTGCCACGATTCGGATGACTCAGCAAGGTCGGACACAGGGCAGCTCCTGCGCATGCCACGTGCGAAGCTCGGACAGGTGGACGCTTCTAAGTGGACCGAACTTCGGTCCAATGGGGAAAGGGGATGACGACTTCGGACCAATCAGCGGGTGCCACGCGTGGCTGCGGTCCAATCAGAAGACGCCACGTGGAGGTTGCATGCGAAGGATGACGTGGCTGGCACTATTCATGCGAAATTTTTCGATTTTCACGCCAAAACTTCTAAAATTCATAACTTTCGCATACGAGCTCCGTTTTTGACGTTCTTTATATGCACGCGTAGGTAAAATTACGCTCTACAACTTTCGTTTAGACTTCGTCGGCTAATTTTGACTTTAATTTTTAAATTATTATTTTTAACAGACCGGGACAGGAATTCCGTTAAAAATTCATAACTTCTTCATCCGACGTCCGTTTTCGTCTGTCTTTTTACCGTTGTGATACTAATGACGAGACATTCGATTCTCGTTTAGGTCGTGTCGGCTAAAAATCACTCGATCTAAAATTCGAGTTTTTAGCTGTCTACTACTAAGCCGAAACTTCGAAAAATCATAACTTCCTCATACGAAGTCAGATTTGGGCGTTCTTTTTATACATACTCTCGGTTTAACGAACACTACGAGTTTCGTTTATATGACTAAGGCTAAAAAGTAGTTTATCAAAAACTCACTTTTTACGACATTCGGCACCGTGCCGGTTTATCGTGAAACTTCGACAGGTCATAACTTCTTCGTTATAACTCGGATTTCGGCATTCTTTTATATATCCGTAATCCTTGTCACGCCCACTACAAGTTTCTTAATAGATATCGGCTTTATCTAATATTTAATTTTGACGCTCATTTTTATTTTTAATTAATTAAACCCTAATAATTAAGCATAAAACACATAATTCACATAATATTCACATAATTCCCTTTCATTTCTTCAAAATGAGTTACAAAGGTTAACCTAGACCATTATGTCAATATTAATGCCAAGCCTAGAAACACGGGCGTTACAGATTTGATACATCATCGACACATATTTTAAGTTCTCTTTAATTTTTTACAACCTTTGTGCTTCTATAGAAAAAACAAGTAAAAAAAAACCGTTGATAACGTTATCAAAAAGCAATTCCTTCTGGACCTTGGACTCACAGAAATTTTGTATTTGATAATTTTTGTTAGGGTGTGTTTTTATTAAATAAAAGTAATTGAAATGTGAATATTGATATAACAAAAAAAAGTTATATATATATATATATATATATATATATATAGATATTATATATATATATATATATATATTCATTTGTTTAAACTAATTATTGTGTTATTGTATGCATAAATGTGGGCCAATCAAAATTAAATAAAAAATTAAATAATTAAATAAATAAATAAGGGTAATATAGTAATTTGTTTAGTAACTACCAAAAATAATCCCTATAATCAGGGATCCGTTTATTATTAACCCTATTAAAATCCACCTACACCGTAATAGGATCACACAGGTGAACTAAATCCTAAATCCGCCTCTTTCTTCCTCTCTGCGTCGTAGGTCACTTTCCTCATTGTCTCCATCACCGATTAATCGTTCTCCTCGCCACTGCTTCTTCCGCCTAATACCATTTACAGTTTCTGATGAAAATCAATGGCAGTGGCTCAATCTTCGTCGATCAATGAAGCATACTCACCTCTCCCCTATCTTTACGCCGCCACCACTCAAGCTGCATCTCCCGCAGTCTTTTCCCCCAAACAAACCCTAGAATTCCCCCTCCGAACCCCCAAACTCTCCTACCGATCGACATTTCTCCGCCCCGTTGCCGCCGTCGCCGAGGGGAAGGTTGTAGAGCTAGGCGATGAAATTTCAAACCTAACCCTTGCAGATGCACAAAAACTAGTTGAGTACCTCCAAGACAAGCTTGGAGTCACCGCCGCCTCCTTTGCTCCTGCTGCGGTTGTTGCCGCACCTGGCGCTGGAGCTGAAGCACCTGCTGCAGAGATCATTGGCAGCTCCAGTATCGATTCAATTCAACAAGAATCCGAAGATTTATCTGAGATCCGCAATCTGCTTCATCAAATCGTAGCCCAACAGTCCAATTTATTCGATCTCCTCGAGGCGGCAGTTGGTTCAGCGAACTCGTTCGCGTATCTATGGCAAGTGTGTTGCGAGGTTTCTTGGTCGATTCTCGTTTCAGCCCTTTAGAGAAAACCCTACCTTTGGTATTGATGATCGGTATGTCGATTCTCCCTTTTCTTTCAGTTTACTTTTATCCCCATCTTCAAAAGAAGACAAGCCGAGTTCTTATTGTCCGTCCTCAGCCACACCTGAAGTTCCCATGTACCCTCTTCAGTTAGATGTTGTAAAGCATCTTGTGAAACTGTCACCAGTCAGGGCTGTTTTAGCATGTGTTTTTGGGAATTGTATTTTATATGGTGGCAATGACTACTCATCAACCATGTCAGGCTCGTTGACTGATGGGCCAGGGTGAGTCCAGAAGCATGATACTGATATATTGTTCTTTGAGTTTGCACTTGATCAATCCGAGAGGTTACTTTTGTCTTTTCTCCATATATAACTGAATTTAGTTAGTTGGTTACCCGATTTTGAATTCCATTTAACTTCTAATTCAGGTTTCTGACCTTGAATCGGTGGATACAAATGCAAACTAATCTTCACCGAGTTTCAGAGGTAGCTGTAACTGCTGAGCATTCGGTTAATGATGGAATTGAGGCGAAAACTTATGTTAAGAGGTTTCGGGAGCATGATAGTGATTCTGATTTGGAACATGATGAGCTGGCGGCGGTTGGCACCAACAGCCTTTCTGTTCTTACAGACACTACAAATGAAAGTGGTATATGGCAAGATTCACCCAAGTCAGAAGCTGCTGAAATTGATACAACAATTTTTCTCTCTTTTGGATGGGAGAATGAAAAACCGTATGAAAAAGCTGTTGAAAAATTTAAAGTTGTATCCAAAAATTTGTTATTAGTCGGTGTTGGCATTCTAATAGAATATCATTCTAATAGAAATATATATCCTGAAATTCCTAGAGAATATGATTCTAACAGAATAATATACATGGTTTTGTTTGTTATTAGTGAGTATTTCATTGTCATAGACTATTATATAAAGTTTTTACATTTTTAAGAATGTAATGAAAAATTTGAAGTTGTATCCAAAAATTTGTTATTAGTCGGTGTTAGCATTCTAATAGAATATCATTCTAATAGAAATATATATCATGAAATTCCTAGAGAATATGATTCTAACAGAATGGCATTCTAGCAGAATAAAATCATGTTTAATTATAAAAATTACGTTATAATTAAAATTAAAGTAATTAAAAAATTAGAATTTTAAAATCAAGAGAATTAATTATCCCAAAAAATATGGAATTTTCCTTTTTTAAATTTATCTCAATTGTCTAAAATACCCTTAGAATGAAATTAGATGTTATTTTTCAACTATCTTTAATTTAATAATATGTATTAATCACTTTCTTAAAATAAGTAAAATGATTGGCCCACATTTATGCATACAATAACACAATAATTAGTTTAAATAGAATAACCTAAGCCTATATATATATATATATATATATATATATATATATATGGTTCAATTGAGAAAAAAAGGTTGAGAATGGGGGAATCATTCTCAGCCACTCATTTATTTTTGCGCAAAAGCCTCCGTTGTACCAGCAGAAATGGGAAATGAATGGACATGTGTTTTCCAACAAAACATATTTCCTTAAACTATGCTAATCATTACCTTAATATATACAAAAACATAGTTTTTTTTCTCATTTTTTTAATTTTTAAGAAGCTATTTTTATCGAAAAATGATTTTTAAATATACCAAAATTCATGATTTTTTATTCTCTACAAATAGACATCCATATTGATATAGTTTTAAGATAAAATAAAATTTTTTTTTTATATTTTCAGCTATCGTTATTCATAAGTGAATAAAAATGCATCAGGTTTAATTACAGTACATTCGTTATTCACTTACGAATAAAAAGTATGATTAATTTTTTTTACAATATAAGTATCATTCATATATGAATATAGCATATAATAAACATAGTATATTCATATTTAAATATTAGACAATGCATTCACTTGTGAATATTAACATAGTATATTCACTTGTGAATATTAGATGATATATTCACTTATGAATATTAAATGATATTTTCATATGTGAATATTACATAGTATTACATGGTATATCACATGTGAATATTACATAGTATATTCACTTGTGAATATTAGATAATATATTCACTTATGAATATTACACATTATATTCACATATGAATATTACAAGGTATATTCACTTGTGAATATATTCACTTATGAATATTATAAGGCATTTTCACAAATATATATAATTTTTATATATTATTCGCATATGAATAACATATAAACTTGCATATTTGTTTTGTTTTTTTAATAATCATATACTGATTCATGTGAGAAAACATATTCATATGTGAATATAACGTGGTAATTTAGTTTATGCATTTCATCAAACAGTTGGAGTGCATACAATTTAACTATTTTAAAAATGTTAAAAACATGATACTTCCAATTCAAGTTATCAATTCCAAATCATCATATACTTCCGATTTCGACTTCAGATGTGACATCCTATGTCTGATCGATTTCTTATTTTGATTTTGATTTCCGAAAATCCAATTGGGAACCTGTGAGTACCGATTCCGAGTCCTTCAATGTCGACTGTGACTGCGAGTCCAGAACTCCGATTCCAATTTTATGAACAGCGAAGAAATTCCGATTCCAACTAAGTTCGTTTGCGAATCTGGGAAATTCCAGTTCCAAATCCGTTATGAACTTTAACAGATGCTTGCAAGCTACGAACATTTGGAGTATTCAAGAAAGAAATCGATAAAATTGATGATTGATTAACACTAGATGACATTGATGATGGTTTAGTTGAAGAAATCTGGATGATTGTTGAAGGTTGGAGGAGAAATTTTGATGATGAACGAATTGTTATCGAATTCTCTATAGTTACGTATTTGAGATTGAAGGTTATTAACATATTTACAAGTTTGCCACCGTGTCTTTTTATGCTTAGATTAAATGAGTGGCTGAGAATGATTCCCCCATTTTCAACCTTTTTTATTTTCTCAATTGAACTTACCTCTCTCTCTCTCTCTATACGTACATACATACATATATATATATATATATATATATATATATATATATATATATAGAGAGAGAGAGAGAGAGAGAGAGATGAGTTCAACACATAACCAAAAACATTGTCTAACCATATAACCACTTGCATCACCGTTAGATTAAACTGATGACAAAAGGGTATGATGGTAAAAAAAATGTTCATACATGAACATATGTTCATAAATGAACACAAGTTTATGTTTACAGTATGCAAATGCAAATAGACATCACCAAATATAGACTATAACCCACAAATATTGTTCATATTATTCCTTATAAGTTGCAAATGCTCTACACAATTCATCTGATCATCTTTCTTTTTTGAATCAAACTCGATAGGTATGTCGTGTGTAACACCCCATTTTTGCCTTATAATATAAACGACCAGTTATGTAAATATACATTTTTGATAGAGGACTATTTAGGATAAATAGCCTTGACAAAAATTGTAGCAATCGCAAAATCGAGAGCGTACATATAGAGAACGTTCAAATCTGACTTCATATAAGGAAGTTATGATTTTTAGAGGTTGCGACATAACAATATACGACATAGAAACCAAAATAGAGATCGCTTGATTGTTAGGAAAACAATCTAAACGAGAGTTGAAGAGCTCGTCAATACCTATCCGTCGATTTAAGTACAATCGAGAGCGAATATTGCATGAGAGAGTTTTGATTTTTATATGTACTTTAACAGTGTAAACCTATAAAAATATAATTTTAAAAATAAAGTGAGAATTAGCCGATTGGGTCTAAATGAAAGTTGTAGAAGATATGGAATTTACAAAATCCACGTTTTACACGGCGCACAACTTCAAGAAGGTGCAACGTGGACCACATGGGTTTTGACACGTGGCAGGAAGCAAATGGATTGACGTTACCCAAATGCGCGACGCCCACCTATAGTGCACAACGTGTATCCTTACTATAAATAGAGTGATCCGGTTTCATTTGTTCTCACTCCTCTCTTCACTCAAACTCTCTCTAGAAACCCCTCACCCCTCAAGTACGACCTTTCTGGGTTTTTGGAGTACTTTAGCGAAGCTCTGAGGCAGTGGGTCGGGCAAATAGAAGTGCTCGGTATCGAATCCATGCCTGCAATATTCCCGGTTTTCTTTAGGATCTCTGTAAGTTAAACTACGTATCTATTGTAGCTTATATTTATATTCATAGTCGTTATTATGGATATATAAATAACATTTATCAGTAATTCTAATTATAATGTTGATTGATCTACTTACGGGAGAGGTGTCTAGAATGGCCAAAACGGTCATGCCTCCAAACTTTCCGGCTTGGCTGATCATTATTTGATAGAACTCCCTTATTTGATAGAATTCTCAATATTCATTGTGATTAGTGGAAGATCTAGTTTCCATTAGCAGATCGTTATAGATATTAATAAGTATAGGGCTGTAAACGAACTGAACGTTCGACGAACCGTTCGTGAATTGTTTGGCGGGAAGTTCGTTTTATGTTCGTTTATTTAATAAATGAACGAACATGAACAAAACTTATCGTTCGTTTAGTTAAATGAACGAACATGAACAATGGTCTCGTTCGTTCATTTATGTTCGTGAACGTTCGTTTATGATGTTCGTTTACGTTCGTTTATGTTCGTTCGTTTAAGTTTATTTATATTCATTTATATTCAATTTTTTTTTTATTATATTGCTATATTATATGTTTGTATATGTTCATATATGTTCAATTGTGTTTTTTTATCTTTGTTCGTTTAGCATGTTCACGAACATAAACGAACGAACATGAACAAAGTAATTTGTTAAACGAACGAACATGAATAAGAAAATCTCGTTCGTTTATCCGTTCGTGTTCGTTTGTTGTTCGGCTAACTTAAACGAACGAACATGAACATGACCTTGTTCGTGTTCATTTGGTTCGTTTACAACCCTATAAGTAGTATCATAGGTTAATACTCGTAAAGTGTGTTACCAGCCAGTTGGATCGCAAGTAGAATCACCCAGATAGCTGTTAATTGTCGGAGTAACTGTCCACGTGAGTTATCTCACTATACTATGTATTACAATACATTTCCATGTATGTTAGGATAGATAACTAATAGAGTAAAGCTGATAGAATAGTCTCTATGTGCTTAAGTATAAACTGGTAAAGTAGAAAGTATAATTGTGCCTGTATTAGTATAATCTTGAGTGTAGCCTCTATATGTTTAATTATTGTCATATTAAAACTAGATAGAGGGTGACGGTGGAACGATTAATGAGGTCGGGAGCCTATAGGCCCATGTAAATTTAGTTAGGGGATGATGGTGGAATGGTTAAAGAAGCCGGGAGCCTACATGCCCGCATATTCCAAGATACATATCTTATTGGCAGATCGTGAGCCATTGTTTGTATGCATGTATATGTATTGTAGTATATGGTATTTTTGGGAACTCACTAATCCTTGTGCTTACCCAGTTGAATAAAAATCTTTTTCAGGTGCTTCAATGATTCATAATAAGGGAAAGTTTTGACTGTACACACGTGTATTCGCAACATGTTTCCGCACACTGTAATTACACCCTGATATATTTTAATAAAAAAAATGAAAAAATGCCTTAAAAATTAGGACGTTACATCGTGATGATGGTTTTTAAGTCCATATTCATTTTATGAACATATGTTCATAAATGAACATATGTTCATTTATGAACATATGTTCATAAATGAACATAAGTTCATATTTTCAGAAAAGTAAAGGAGAAAATGGAAAAAAACAATAATATGTTCAAAACATATTATACAGAGGAAGACACATAACAGATATATCGTATGTTCATAAATGAACGTAAGTTTATATTCATAATCACTTGCTTTTCATCATACTGTATTTACCCATGATGGTTCTCCCATTTCTACATGTGTTGTGTTTGCAGATTCATCATATGTTTATATATGAAATTATGTTCATTTATGAACATAAGTTTATATACACAATCAATTACTTCTCATCTGAGTATAGTTACCCATGGTGCAATGTTTGTAACTGTTGGTTCTCCTAGCTCTACATATGTTGTGTGTGTCCTCAAGAAAAGGCAATAACTCCTTCATGGATAAAGTTATTTGGATTACTCCTTTGTTGATTTGTCGTGAACACTTAACATATGCTCATTTATGAAACAGGACACTTAACGATTTATGAGAACTTAAGAACTCCTAATCTGCTCATATTTTTTTCAAAACCAAAACCACCAATATTAATGAAATGCAACATCTATGTCATATCTAGGCTCAAACAAAAACTATTTGACGAATTATTTTTAGTGCTAATTTATATATATGCGTGCATGCATACATGTGTCCACACTCATATATGACTACTGATTCATATGTATGCATGCATTCATATCTGCGTTCGCAGTTCATATAACTGTTGATTTATATATATGCATGCATGCATATCTATGTCTGCAGTTCAGATTACTGCGGACGCGTAGTTTTCAACTGCGGATGCATACTTCACAAGTTCTCACACATTTTTAAGTTCACACAATAACTAAGCCATATATATATATATATATATATATATATATATATATATATATATATAGGATTGGCTGATGACTCACAAATTGGTGAGGACTGCGAATACAGATATTTGTCTAAAAAATAAAAGGATAAAATTTAATTTAATTTATTTTCAAAATCTAACGAGATGATATTATGATTTTGTAATTATGTGCGAGATTTTGGTATTTTCCAGCAAATGTTAACTGTTTGGAGGGTTAAATAGGTAAAA